AAATTTTTCAACAAAAGCATCAGTCTTTTTATTTATTCAACTACTTTTGTTTTTCTTGGTATCATACGAGTGTGATACCACTTTATTCTTCCTTCCTTTTCCATTGCCTTTAGAGGTACCATCTGTTGCTTAAAGTTTTGACCAATTTCTCTGCAAAATGCTCCAATTGCAAACTTGCACGTATTTCATACATAAATTGGATTGATTCGCCAACCGCCCAAGCATGTTTGATATGCATCCAAGAGTAAACAATTCACAGTGAATGAAGGAGACAATTTGAAACACGGGCATTTACTTTTCCGCCATTTTTTCCCGGTTAAAAACACGATTAGCCGTTTTCTTGGCTCATGGCGGTGCTTAAAAATGATAAATTTAAGCCTTTTGAGCCTCCAACCCACCAGGCTACCTGACAAAGCTACCCTAATGCTACCATACAGAGCTTTGGGACAGACCTGACGCATCCAATACAGAAGTGTTTGATGGCGAAATTCTGCCCTCTGGAGATGTATATTATGCACACCTCTCACTTATTTCGCATTTTATTCTCGTAGGTTGGTGGGCATAATTGATATTTAAATTTGGGGGATGAGTGGGATGACTGTCTGCCAGCAGACCATGCAAAAGGTACTGCTTTTTTGAGGGGGGGGGGAGCAGGAAGAAGCCAGTGAGTCTCATGTGGACCAAGTAATTGCTTACCTTACCTGCTTTCAACACACGATTGGTAACCATAGTTAGCCACTTTCTGCTTTAATCCATCGAGTTTTGTCATAAGACAAATTATGATGTCACAAGGCATGCAATGGACTTATTGTTCCATATTCCTGATTATTTGCCCGAAATTTCTTGAAGTGGTCCCCCACGTTTGCTTTAATCAGATGTTTTCTATAGTTGTAATGGTTTGCTGACTGGCAAATGACTGCTCTGTATATATGCACTATATTTTCAACACGGGGATACTCTAAGCTGCATAGCAAGTATAATATGAGTCAAATATTAGTATGTAACAAAAAGTTAGACCATCTTATTTAAAATGCAAAGCCAACATCTCAAACTGTGTCATTAAATATGAATAAACAAGCCTAAATACACGCATTAGCTGCAGCTGAGGAGGCAAGCAGCAATACTGGCATGATCATGTAAAAGTTATGTCACTTTTTGAGAGGAGAGCTTGTTTTGTTGAGCGCACCCATTATTGCCCTTGACGTAGGTTAACCATGTCTGTCAAAATAAGTTGTTCAAAGTGATTTAAAGTGCTTTGATTTGTGTGTTGTCCACTCTGCCTGATGTCAAAACTTTAAAATTACCTGATTTCAATTACAAATCTGATTTCAAAATCAACTTTGCCATGCTTTTGTCACAAAAGTTGCTGTCAACAGATAGGTAAGTTGGGATGGTGTTCAACATATGGCCTACTCTAAGTAAGGTTAAGTTGGTTAAGTGCATGGCAAGTGGCAATAGGGATTATGCAAGAATCAGATACAACTTCTGCTGTGATGCAAACAGGTTAGACAGGATGGGAGGAAGTAAGGCCTCTTTAGGTTAGGCATAGTTACGCTACTTTCATGGGAATAAGCATTGGTATTTTGCAGGAAACAATGACACAATGTTTGCTGTCCCTGACCCTATCTTAACAGAAGCCAGAGGCATGTCTATTGTGTTTGACTTGGTGATGGGCTGATGTGTATGAGTCAAAGTTTCTTTTTGTTTGAGTGTTTTATGCTTGTTGAATTTTCTGTTGTTATTTTGTTATTTAATTCTTTTGTTTTGTTTTGTGTTAAAAGTGCTGTGGAAGGGAAGTGCAAAGTGTAGCATCAGATTATTGGTGTTAATAATTTTGTATGTTCATTATGCTGTCATGAAAATGCTGTGCTTTTATGCATTCTGTTACACTTAAATGACCTAAGACCTTTTGTGAATTGATTTTTTCACTCCGCACGGTCTTTTTACGATGAATTTTTTCACTCTCACCTTAGTTCAAATGCGATTCTACCTCACTGAATATGTTGCCGCTCAACCCGCACTGACATCCGCCAGTGCCAGTTGAAGGACGAAGACTCGTATGTTAATGAGTGAATCACATCTCCACTTTCTCTTTGTTCTACCTTTTCTTATAATACAATCAGCCATTGGCTGGTTCTAGCATTATGAAGTCGGGATTTAAAAGGAGCCACAGCGACCCAACGTCCTTAGGTATAGTGGGTGTCCAGCCTTCTTTAAGTCAGTCCGCAAAGGCGACCTTTATTGACCCATGGGTCGGGGCAGTCATGATCCACACGGTCTACCTGTTTGTGGCTGTTGTATTGATTTCGGCTCGTTGATTGCTGTGGTTGTTATTGCAAATGAACTTGAAAGAATGTGTTGGTTATCGCACCGGTGGTGAAACATTGAAAACTCTGCTACATTTGCTGAACCACAACATATCAGCTCCGGACCTTCTATGCTCTGTGTTATGATCCGGCATGGTAGGGTTTTTGGAGGAAAGGGCGCTTTAGCAGCAGAAAATGGGCAACTTTGAATCTAGTTGATTTATGGGTTAGAAGGTTTGTAACTCATGTGTGATGTTTGTTCATCTCCGGCAGCTATGCTGCGGTGTGAAAGATGACATACTTTTAATTGGGGTTTAAGTAAGCAAACGCGATTTTTTGTTGTTGTAAATGCGTCTTTTTAGGTAAACGGATGAACATGCAGAATTGAACAATGTTGAACTCTGAGTTCGTAGGTCCGACGTGCATGACCCAAATATTCTAAATTTGTCTATTTCCGGTTAGAGGAAATGCTTTTCATATCAAGATATTTAAAGAAGCCTCAGATATGATGAAACAAGCTCATTGATGATTATAAGTACACCTTTCAAGTGGAAAGACTGCTCTAGACAGCGTAATTCTCTGTTAAGGAAATATGCTCATCGATGCGTCGTGATTTAATTACGCCATCGTACCTCGCACATTAATTGAGGGCCAGTTGACGCCCGTTGTACCTGGAAATCGCGCTCACGAACGCCAGGTATGAACGCTTCGACAATTACATTTTTTCTTGGCTTCGATCGTCACATGGCGTATAGAATGGCAAGGTTTGAATGACGTTATTACGACATCATGAATGCCAAAGCGACTTTAAAATACTCTCCCCGATATACCTTTTCCCATGTTTGCGGGCGTGGAGCTCAGAAATTGGAGGGGCTTAGGTTTAAAGGTGGGCACTGTTAGGAACAACACGGAAAGGTCTTTAATGTGACTATTTAAGTTCAAAACCCCATACAAATGTGGAACGTTCCCTTTAAATGAATAACTTGCGGCGGAAAGCGAGCTTCCTGTTGCAATCGGACTTAGGTTAGGTAAGGTATTCTCTTGACGTATGCAACAGCCAAAAATAATAAATTTGGATATTCCCTGGTCACAGACTACGAACTTCAGCCTTAACTCGTTCCTTGCTTATTTGCATCTGGCAAATACGCTACTACGCTAGCTCTAACCCTCACTCGTTCGTTGCTTATTTGCATCTGCCAATCTTCACTCGTTCCTCGCTTACTTGCATCTGCCAAATACGCTACTACGCTAGCTCTAGCCTTCACTCGTTCCTTGCTTACCTGCATCCGCCAAACCGACCTCGGCACGCCGATAGGTGCCCACTTTGTATTGCGATCCAAACTAGTGTTTTGTGTGCGTGCCACCAGCTGGAGATGACAAGTTTTTAGTCTTGTTGGTTAATGCGTCACGAGTTCATTACCCAAATATTCCATTCAAGTGTCTAAGTATTCGGAAATTTTTATTTGCCTCCGCTAACTCGATCACGCTGCGACAAACAGTGCACTTTTCTACAATTGTGGAACGGAAAAAAGGTCTGTTTAGAGTGCCAGCATCGTATTTTTAGCGTGTTGTCGTATTTGTGCGACCTAAAAGCGAGGTGCTCGTTTCCCCGAGCAATTTATGGTAAATTAGGCAGTTTTGGAAAAAATCTGTATTTAGGCTCTAGATCCTCTGGCAGAAATCATCGTTTTAGGCTATAAGAAATGAATATTTCACGACTTCCCTGTGCATGGGAATTAGACTGTCCATGCTGGATGTTTTGCTTGGTTGGACATACCCTTGCAGACCTGACCATTCTCAATGTAGAAATTCAGGTTCTGAAATTTGCATTCAGGCATTGCAACTCAGCGCCTTCCAACATAACTGGAATTGTCTGCACTTCTGTCCCAGGACCTCCTGTCCGTAAAAACAGACAGTGAAAAAGATTGCTCATCGTACCTTGCCGTGTACCTGGAGAGCTTTACTGGTATATCGTTCAATGTGGTCAAACCTTTTTGGGTCATCCTATCATCGAGATCTAAAAGTGACCCAAAGCAGAGATACAATGCCCACACAGTTGATTCCTCCGATGGGGGCCTCTGGCTGCGCGCCTGTTTGTATGAACCGGCTCACACGGTCCTCAGCATTTGATGTATAATATAGAGACGTGCATGCGGGTAGCACCCAAGTTTCCTCTCTGCGCCATTCAGGACTATACGAGTCTACCACAAGAGCTCGTCAACGAAAACCCCCATGTCACGCAGCACCGCATTCACATCACTAATGAACGTCACGTCACGTGGTTGGGGATGTTGCCCCGCAAGACCGCGCATGCAGTCGCTCCTGTTCAGCCTCAGCGCAGTGGTCTCATTTGGCAAGACCCTAGAAGGCCGGCAGGAAATCATAGGGACACCAAACTGTAGGCCTCCATCACTGGCGAGGCGTCTTTCAACACGGTGACACTGCGCGACATCCCAAAGAACACGCGGAGTGATGCCAGCCATCAGTTGCGGACGGACTGCTCACTTTCCGTCCGGACCCATTCACCTTGAACCCACTGTGCCGTCGACCGCCGGCCCGGAGTGCAACCGGCGGCGAAGTTATACTTGGCCAGGCGCCAAGTCTGCGCCAGACGGGGCCTGGTCTGGAGCCCCGTGACCAGCTCCGTTATTGACGCTGGACCGCTGGTGGGGCGCGCGTAGTCGAGCCCACCGACCGGCCACGTCAGGGACAGTGACAGGTGGCGCCACCGCGGCCACGTGCGGCCGGCAGCGCAAACCGACCCGAACTCGGACGCCGTTCGCCGGCGCTGGTCAGCTGTGCGCCCCTCGGCAGCAGCCATGCAGCTGGTGAGGTGCTCGCGCGCCCTGCTGAACTCCAGCACCCATCGGCTGCTGGCCCGGCGCGGCCTACGCGCCTCCTGCCTGCGCGCCGCCAGCGGGTACGTACATCATCGACCTGCCGCGCGTGATTGCGGCTGCCCGACGGCGGCGCGCAGCGGCTGTTGGCTAGCTGCCAACAGCTCAGAAACGTGCAGGGTCTAGCCGCCGGCCCCCCGAATCCGGCGTTACCATTGGTGGAAGCTGGGCTTCGCCCACCGTCCGATGCCCGCCCACTGGCGCGCAATAGAAGTGCAGTAGGTACAGCCGTGCGCCGCAAGGAACCGGTGCCAGCTGGCTCGATGCGGACACAACCGGTGTGAACCGGTTTATGGCTGCAGTGTGAAAGCCCTCAGCTGGGCGTCATCTTACGTCGCAGTATCCACACAGCAAAATGATGCTATGACGTGATTATTTGGTCGATAATATCCCTTGACATGTGTTGGCTTGCGCGTCTGTTTCCACCTGCCCATACAACTGAAAAAGCTGTTCGTGCGAGTAGATTTACGCATATATTTCGTGCCGCAAATGTGTTCGTTGAATCTTGCATTGATTGGGTACTTCAGAATGTATAAGCAAACTTAATGGCACTGATGGGCAGCGAGTGAAATGGAGGGTTATGGAAGGATAAGAGCAAGGAAGCATATTTATGCGTTTTAGACGCTTGGCCATTGGCCACTCACGGCGTCGGGGTCCGCCGGCGAGCCGTTGATGCCTGCTCTGCGGAACTTGTTCATGCTTCAGTTTGTTCATATTTTGACTCGGCGCATGGAGAACCCGGCATTTACCGAGAGGTGTTGAACCTGCATTCATGTATCAATGCAGGTATCAGTTTAATCAACACGCAATGAAGTGTTCGAAATTTTTAGGGGCTGTCACTTGATCAGTTCTATGTCTTATGCCAAAACAACAACTATGAAGCTATACTAGATCAAGCGGGAGTGAATTCATGTTTCTGATATTTTAAGAAAAGCATACTGTTGTGGACAAATTGACATAGAAACCGTCCGAATGTTATATTTCACATAAGTTAGCGGGAAATCTGAACCTGTTACCTCATTACTCCCATGCCTTAATGCATTGTTTCCGTCTTCCATATTGAAATACTGGCATGTCAAATAACACATATTTAGATTAAAAACTACACTCAAAATGTTTGACTCACTACACAATATAATGAAAACAAGAAATAAGTTCTCCCAGATGCGACTAAGAGGAATGTCTGTACCACGTTGCAAGCAGTTACCTGTGATAAGGATTAATTAATTGCCCGAAATGCATCACAACGCATGTTTCCCATGCCCAGGTGGGCCCGGGTCCATGGCAGCGGGCGGCCGGGCTCGGCTCTGATAAGCTGGTTTTGTGTTCTGAGACGATACGCCGCGGCGCTATCCATTACAATCGGACTTTCTAATACGGCTCTGTCGTTCCTGAGACAAGCAGTGACCCCGCAAGGTCCACTGAAACCTTCTGCGGCCTGCAATCGCACGGATTATACTGTTGTGTCGAATCTGCCTTGCAAACCAGTCTCTTATAAGGGAATCGTGTGCAATGGTGAATCTGTCGAGGAAGCGCGATTTTCTCCGAGATTACTATAGTGCGACCGGAAGGGAGCTTACTAAGTTTGGATCGATTAGAACTGAACGACATTGGGGAGGCGAAGGCACCAAAGCTTCAGTTCATTTCACGAAAACTTCCCTGAATTCGATTAGCCAGAGAATTATGCAAGCTGTTCAGTGCAGCTGTGAAGAACATTACACATGCATAAGACAGTACTGATGGTCTTATTCGTCGTCGAATAACCAGGAGAAAGGGTAGGGGCAAATGCATTGATGTTTCGGCTACAGGCCTTTGTCAAAACGGTTGTGTACCGTGAAATGAAATCTCTTACCGATCCTGCTCAACTTTTTAACTTTTTGAAATGTGCCACGCCAGAGAAGTATTCCAGCTGCGCAGTTAAACGTACACAACCCTTAGAAAAACTTTCACAAGTGTGTCCTAGTTTTCTAACGACAGATGGACGACGCCACAAAACAGGACCTCGTTGAAAGCATTTGCTGCTGAAAAACAGCGCGATGCAAACACAAAATCAGAGCTGTTCTATAAATTCTGCCGCTTGCAGATGCACTTCATTGAAAACATCCTCGCCTCACCACTTTTACGTGCATTAAGAACAGGCGATAAAAACGTGAAGTTTGTCCTTTACCGCATGATCCAGACGTTGCTGCCTGGCTCATGTATAACAGTCGGCCTTTGACATCACTTCGACCCTCGTACGACGATCTCTGCAACAGCTTTTGATTTGGACTTGGTCGGGGGCAGTGATTATGCGTGTATGTTGTCCACACTGATGTATTATGGCGACGTAATGCCGGGCCCTTTTTTTACCAACACCCTCGGAGAGATGCAGCATTACCGCGCTGGGGAACAGTCATCAGTCGTGTTGCGCCATCACGATCAGGTGGGCAAGACGATTGCGAAAGCTCACGTAGTTCTCCTCGCTATAAAGTGGGCCCTGCCGCCGTCTGCCGGCCGATCGGCGCCGGTGCCGGTGCGCCCAGCGCCGAATCGGGCCAGTTTGCACGGCGCCGCGAGCAGTCCGAGCCCGCCGACGCCGGGCAGACCTCCGTCCGGATGACGGACGGCCCAGCTGCCGCCGGCTGGCACGGCCTCTTCGAACCATGCTCGGTTTGTTTTAACACGCTGCCATGGTGCTGGTCAGAGCGCGTTCCAATTCTACAGGTTTTGAAATGCTGTTTTGTGTTTACTATAACCGCCCTCCCCCTTTTACCCGAGCATCAGCCTACACACAATCCTCACTCCAAATCGTCCCCTGCGTGCGGGGTGGTTCGGGACTACGTGAACTGAGCTGGTCGCAGACTACGTGTGCCGCGGTGGCCGGGCGGCACGCTGACGGACGCCTACGCGCCATCACGCATCTCCTGTCTGATGTCAGCGTGGCGCCTGTCGGAACTCCCGCTGCGCACTTTGTGCCTGACACGCAGGCGACGCGCAGCGGCACTTCTCGTATGTCCCTCGCTGGCCGCTTTAAGTGCATGTGTCACGTTGGTTACGCATGCATAACCTGAATAGGACATGCGCAAAGAAACGCGCAAACACAATAGGACATGCGCAAAGAAACGCGCAACCACAATAGGACATGCGCAAAGAAACGCACAAACACAATCAAATTGTCACTCGGAGGCACACAGACATTCGTTTAGTTGGAATATCCTTACTGGGGTGGGGCAGCACCAGCCGCTCCTTCGTTGAAGAACCTTCACGTGTGCCGTGCGTGCAAGGTACCATTCCCCAGACTGCCGAAAGCTGTTGAGGCTTCCTCACTGGGAACACCGCCGCGGTACAGCACACTTTATATAAGCCCTTGATGCCAGTTATTTACGACAAAATAGTGTGTTGTCAACTATACTATATACACCATACTCAGCTCAACCCAGGTCAGCTTGGCTATATATTATATATATATATAAATATATATATATATATATATATATATATATATATATATATATGTGTGTGTGTATGTATATATGTGTATATGTATGTATAGACTATATGATATTGAGCCGTATCGCACCCAGCTGGCTCCCTTGAACAAAATTGAAAACGTGAGAGCATTAAAACGTTTAAATTTGATACATTTATTTGAAAATCTGGCCATTATTTTAGGAAGTCCACCAAGATTGCCGCCCAAAAGAAAAAAACAAGCACGTGCTGCGCCTTGGTCAAAATTGAGTTTGCTTGTCAATTGCTCCACACGAATTGCGTGTTTTATGACGCATTAGTGTCAGCTTGAAATAAAAAGCTGATGTAGGTTACTCGCGGGTGCGAAAATTCATCACCGTTTGGGCCGGGGCGGATTGTATGTGAGAGTAGATTTCAAAATGGCAGGTGCCTCGCAAACATGCGACGAAGCTAGCTTGGACTTGGGCTTCGCGGAAGCGCAGTGAAGTCTAATGGCTTCGTGTTTGGCACAGCCTTAAAGCCATTTTCACGGATGTTATCAGTTCCAACCTCGGCTTCGTATCATTCAAGGCAGTTGTCTTCGGCCTCAACTTCGGTTGCGACGTTGTGTGATTTTGAACAGCTGGCTTCGGCTTTGACTTCGCATACATTTAAAATTATGGCTCCGGCTTCGGCTTCGAATGCGCTTTGAATCATGGCCGCGATCTTAGTTCCATACTTTCTTAGACTGCTTGGTTCGCCTTGTCATGGTGACTTTTGTACGGACGCTGAGGCTTAATCCATAAAGACACGCCTGCCCATGCCGTCCCATCATTGTACATCACAAGTTTTCAAGGCTGTGTTGCATACATGGCTAAAAGGCCAAACCAGCCGGCTCTTCTCAGGACCGACTTAAAGAAAACCAGACAAGGGTCAAAGAGCCGGAGCACGAAGCGTTGCGTACATCCTGAAGAAAAGACGGGGGTGGTAGTCCGAACCAGCTCCTAATCGTTATGCTATCGAAGACTGTTTGCTTAAAACAAAACAAAAATCGTGTGCCAATAATAAAAAACGCTTGCTTATAATTAAGAAAAAGCTACATGCTAATGATAAGCAACTAAAAGTATGAAAATTACTCCTTTTATGCAGTGATTTGTCTTCATCATTCACAAAACGCATGTTTCACTTTCTGGCCTCATACATTAATAGCAAATGCAAAAATCGTTTTGGTTAGCTAAAGTAACGTTTTACGCTATACTCGGCTGCGCCTTCGGGCTCGCGACCCTAAAGTGATGAATTTGGCTTTGGCTTTGTATTCGGCTTCGAATATAAAGGGGAGATGTGTGGCTTCGTCCGCATGGCTGGTGTAACCTACGTTTCTCGTGTTGTTTTGGGACGGCAAAAGTGTGGAAGGTTGTCTTCCAGTCGGCCGGCTTCCCAGCTGTTCGGAGAGTGGTCAAGATACCGGAGCGATTTCACAGTCTTGCAGCCAACATGCACGGCGACAGCCTTATCTTACCGGAGACGCGCTGACATGGAGGAAAACGCCCCGCCCGGTCGGATCATTACGCGGACCAAAGCTGTGTGCCATGTCTCGACACCAATACCGCATCAGCACGTGCTTACTTGCTGCGTGTCGTGCCCGTTCCAGCACGCCTCTGCCGGAAAATGTCGACACCTGCATCATCGGGGGAGGCGTGGCCGGCTGCAGCATCGCCTACCACCTGGCTAAGCAGGTACGGCCGCCCGGGCATGTGGCGCTGCTCGCCTCTCCGCTGCGGATACACGTTTTTTTTCGGCATAGATACCGAGCGCGTGGGCGAAAGAATCGTGCCTGGAATACCCAGGCAGCTGGGCCGGTGGATAACTTTCAAGCTTGGATGGACCCCCTGTAAACATTTCGGGGGAAGGGGCTGGAACCTCAACAACATCCTGACTGCGCCAGCGCTTTAGAGGTTGTAGTGCTCATTCAACGACTTTCTGATCATCTGAGTACAACGGCGAGGGACCAAAACAAAGTAGGTCAACCGCCCCCCCCCCCCAAGCAAGCAAAGCTCGATCTATATCCGCTTGGTTACACCAAGACTCCAGCGTGGTCTGTTCCAGTGATACTGTAGTTAAAGCGATGACCCTGTAGTCAAAACGATGACCTTGTATTCAAAGCAATGATCCTGTAGTCAGAGCGACGATCCTGTAGCCAGACCGATGGTCCAGTAGTCACGACGATGGTCCTGTAGTCACGACGATGGTCCTGTAGTCAGAACGATAGTCCTGTAGCCAGACCGATGGTTCAGTAGTCACGACGATGGTCCTGTAGTCAGAGCGATAGTCCTGTAGCCAGACCGATGGTCCAGTAGTCACGACGATGGTCCTGTAGTCAGAGCGATAGTCCTGTAGCCAGACCGATGGTCCAGTAGTCACGACGATGGTCCTGTAGTCACGGCGATGGTCCTGTGGTCAGGGCGATGATCCTGTAGCCAGACCGATGGTCTGGTAGTCACGACGATGGTCCTGTAGTCGGAGCGATGTTCATGTAGTCGGAGCGATGGTCATGTAGTCGGAGCGATGGTCCAGCCACTAAGGCCACCACTAGCCTGAATGGAGGTACACGTTTTAGCATAATGCTGTTTTGAATAGACACACTTTAAGTGTATCCGAATGTGTACGATGGGGTGCCAGTAGTGTAGCGATTAACGCGCCCGTGTCTGGGAAACCAGAGGTACGAGGTTCGGTTCCCCGCGGTGTCAGCTTCCCCTTCCTGTCAGGGTGAGAGACAGGCGACACCATACAGTCTCAGCAGCTGGGTGCGTCGTAAAACCACAATAACGATGACGACCAATGTCTACAATGAGAAGCGGAAACTAGAGTAGAAGCTAACGAGAAACTAGAGTAGAGGCTAACGAGGAACTTCTATTACTTACTTCTGTTGCCAACTTCACCGAGTGCGCATGTTTTATGGTGCTGCATAACTCAGCGCATGTGGTAAATACTAACACCGTAAATATCCATATAGTTTGATTATGCGGATATTTATGCGCATGGTTTTTTGTCAGGATGAACATGGTCACCATTCGTACGGGCAACACAAACATGGACAGCCTGCCCACGGGCAACAGATCGGGCAACAGAACAGAACAGACGTGAAAATTTAGACATGGACAACAAAGGCATGTGCAACGCAATCGTGGGCAATGTATGCATGGACAGCTTAGGCGCAGACAACACAGGCGTTGGGGGCAGCACGCGCATGGGCAGCGCAATCATGAAGCGCCTGGCGTTGTGTCGCAGGGCCAGAAGGACGTGCTGTTGCTGGAGAAGACCGAGCTGACGGCCGGCTCCACATGGCACGCCGCCGGCCTCATCACGTTCTTCCATCCCGGCATCAACGTTAAACACCTCCACTACTACAGGTATGAGCGGGCCATGCTGCCCCGCATGTCACAGCAGCCGTCAACAATGTCCGGTTTGCTGGCAAACCGCGGTGAATGTCCCGCGATTGCGCATAGCTCTGTGGGGATGGGGCCGATCCACGCCCACGGCTTCCGCACACGCCTGACGGAAGTGCAAGTGCAAATCACGCATTGCAGCCAGCCAGTGGTAGGGTCCGTCGCGAACCACTCCGGTGCCTAGTGCCGTCTCCCTCCCCCCGGTGGCAGGGCCCGTCCCGAGCCACTCCGGCGCCTAGTGCCGTCTCCCTCCCCCCGGTGGCAGGGCCCGTCCCGAGCCACTCCGGTGCCTAGTGCCGTCTCCCTCCCCCCGGTGGCAGGGTCCGTCCCGAGCCACTCCGGCGCCTAGTGCCGTCTCCCTCCCCCCGGTGGCAGGGTCCGTCCCGAGCCACTCCGGCCCTAGTGCCGTCTCCCTCCCCCCGGTGGCAGGGCACGTCCTGAGCCACGCCGGTTCCTAGTGCCGTCCGCTTTCCTCCCGGTGGCAGATGAATATATATATATATATATATATATATATAGATTTATATATATATATATATATATATATATATGTGTGTGTGTGTGTGTGTGTGTGGTGTGCGCATGTGTGTACGAAAAGTCAACAAAATTCGCCATTGTCGGTACTCCTGGAAAATTCACGCGTGCATAATATAACAAGCATTGCGTTACGTAGCAGTACACGCAGTGATACATCTAATCAAGCAGCTCAAATATAGTCATGACTGTACTGCACCGGGAGACTCCTTTAGCCTGAGGGTGTCCCGGTTCGATGGATGCGAGCCATGAATGCTAGCCTGCCCATCTTCAAAGAAGTTCGTGGCACCAACTCCGCGCAAACTAAAACGCCGAGCTTATGGACAACACCAAATGCGCGACGGGGAACCGGCCGCCAGACCAAACTATGGCCGAGACCTATTACGAACTGCGACGGCTGGTTCACTGCCACCTCAGTTGTGCCGTCGGTCCGTCGCCACGCCGACAGCTGCGGCGGCCGGCCGACACGCGCTTGGTTCACTGCCACCTCAGTTGTGCCGTCGGTCCGTCGCCACGCCGACAGCTGCGGCGGCCGGCCGACACGCGCTTGGTTCACTGCCACCTCAGTTGTGCCGTCGGTCCGTCGCCACGCCGACAGCTGCGGCGGCCGGCCGACACACGCTGCTACAGGCGGACCGCCGCTGACACCGCCTTTAAGTGGCGGCCGGCGCCAGGGACACTGCCACATTGCCACACTTCTCATACCTGGTCGCTGCATATGTACTTGGTGGATGTAAATCAATGGGCTTCATTAGTGATGTCAGTCGGAGTTAAAACATTTGCGTGACCAAAAACTAATGTGCTCGGTTTTCCATCCGTCGCGGAAAGCGTTCTCGGACCTTTTTGGTACACGCAACTATTTGTAATACGGGGCATTTAAGTGCATAATTCATTTTTGAAAATAATAATGCTTCAGCGATAACGCTTCCGAGTTGCGTTGAAACCAATCGGCTTTGTGTGCTGTAAGGCACATCTCTCAGCGCCAATGATGTGAAACTCGCTGCAAGACCTTGGGACAAATACCAGTGAGGCTATGTCCTCCAGTTAACGTCAAAACTGAGCATTTTTGTGTGTGGTTAAATGAGATTGTAGGCGGAATTTCACCGTCGTTCTACCAAACATCGGTTTTCCCCACCATCAAGTAGCTTTGTGCAGCGTGGCCCAACCTCTCATCTCTCCTCTTCATCCTTTGTACCAATATAGTGCGAAGAGGTTGAAGTAGTTTATTTTCAACGGAGGCAAACCAAATCAAGAATGAAATTAATGTTATTCGTCAGAGGCCCATATCACAGATGTCACTATGTCCGCATCACACCCCGCACCAAAATCGCGACGTTGTCACTATGAGAGACGAACATATGACTGCGTCGTTGGGCATAGCTTCAGATAGGCCCGACCGGCAGGGATTGCTGAATGCATCTTGTGCCCTCGTGCATTGTTCTGACCAGGTGCATAGGTCTCGCGTCAAGACGCGGAGAACCAACGCAGATTCCGACCGTG